ACAGGAAGTGAAACTTGCTAACTAGCAGAGGCTAATCATCTCGGGACAATAGAGRGATTTTTTTCGTGAATGCCTTGCTATTGGGCAAGTTGTAATTATTCTATCTATTCAGCTAGTACAGGCTATGTTTAACGCTGCGAGGAGACGTAGCCTAACCCTAACCGTAGGCAGGAAAGCGGAAACAGCTGAACGTCACGTGAGGTAAATATGCGTTATGTTAGAATTTATTCGGCAAACGTCTTTCCATCTCCCATTTTGCGCATTAACTACTTTGCGAATCATTCAAAAACCACCTCAAGCGAGCGAAAAAACTTTTTAGCGAATTGAGGATTTTTTTTTCGAATTTTGCTGTTTCCATCCGACTTTTTTCCCCCATTTTTAATGCAACACTTCTAAATACGCATCAAAAAGCCTTGATGGAAACACGGTTACTGTTTCAGCTGTGTGCTGTTTGATTTTCATTTTGTTCTTTGCTTTTTATTCAAGTGTATTTGTTGTTAGAGACAGAGTCCCGTTTGTTACACATTCTTTAAAATTGGTCACCAGACAATATTATTGTTTATCGCAATAATTTCTGAGACAATTGCAAAACAGCAAAATTTGTTATGGTGACAGGCTTAAGTGTCGCCCAACCCTATTCAGGAGCAGGGAAACAAGACCCCACCCAATAATCTGTTCCAGTAAGACTGATTAAAGTTTGCTCTCCAGCAGCTGCTCTTATTGTTTTACCTCAGGGGCAGCAGCCAGCGACGAGCACAGCGAGTCCTCCATGGTCTCTGGCAGGATAGAGGCGCTCTCTCTGGCCACGACCGCTACCAGGCCGCTGTTCTGGGAGAAAAACACGGGCAGGTTGGCACAGCAGCCTCCTCCACGGATCCCATCACCTGAAGGCAGCAGTCAGCACAGGCACATCACTTCTCCTGACTTTGCTTTGAGCAACTGACAACATTTTTGTTTTTGTAAAACATTAATCAGACGTGACAAAGTTATACTTGTTATCTTTATATTTTGAAAGCAGTTGGAACTGAACAAGCAACAAATAAACGGTTTAATGATTTTATTAAGGGAACATATCTACACTGATGCTAAGTCAGAGAAAGAACCAAACAATAATTTTCAGAAATGTCTTGCTAAAAATTCTTTGCGAAAGCAACGTGAAAATAACATTTTAGAGTTTCTTCTTTTAATTAACGTAGCAGGATGAAGAAACTAACATCAGTGTTTTAACCTGTCAGACCAGAACATAAACCACATGATGTCTAACGTGCACCATTTAAATTTGATTTGCACTAAGAGTTGTTTAAGAAAAAATCTTACAAACTGCATGCACACCTGATAAAAACAGATTTTTATACTTGATGATTGTTTTAAATGCCAGGCAGAAACTGATGATGGTCCAAAAGTTCTGTCTTTTCTTCTTTGCAACTTTGCATAAAAAAAAACATCTTTTAGCAATGAGGCAGAAAAAAAGTGTGTTGCAGATCAGAGATTCTTAACCTATGGGCCACGGCCCAATTGTGGGTCACGAGCGCCACCTTGAGGACCTCAAAAGAACAAGTTTTTAACTTTGGGCCACAGAGGGCCGTGGGACCACCTTGATTT